TGGAACTAATGATGGTCTAGCCATAATTCGCAGCCAAGTGGTAGCCACTCGGCTATTATCAGGTGTACAACTTTGCTTCCGCCGTTTTCCGATAGGTGGCTGTACCGGCTGAGGATGGTTGAAATACATAGATGATAATGCCTTTAAAGTGAGTGTGGACAGTGCCCAACGAATTGTCATCACCGTTTCAGTGACAGTTGTTTTTGTTTTCGTATTATTCACGCTCGAAAATGTACGTTTATGTGCCTAATTCTCGCCATTTGCGGGAAGCTTTACTTTTCTGTTGCAATTCGAAAAAAAAATGCAAAAGCGGCCACAATATCAAGAGCGACATGACAAAGTCATCCTCCAACACGACAATGCTCGGCCTCACGTCGCAAAAGTGGTCAAAAAGTACTTGGAAACGCTGAAGTGGGAAGTCTTGCCCCACCCCCCGTATTCCCCAGATGTCGCTCCTTCTGACTTCCACCTATTCCGTTCGATGGCACACGGCCAGGCAGATCAACATTTTGAATCCTTCGAAAAAAATGGATTGCTTCATGGATAGCGTCAAAAGAGGACTCCTTTTTTCGAGCCGGGACTCGAAAATTTCTGGAAAGATGGGAGAAAGTTGTCGCTAGCGAAGGACAATACTTTGAATAATATATCTGTAAGCACTTTTTCGCAATAAAGTTTTTAATTTTGGAAAAAAACGGCGGAAGCAAAGTTGTACACCTGATAGTTCGTGGTTGACTAACTGCTGATAAAATTTTACCAATTTATATTTTTTTTTTTTTAAATATTTTGTACCGGCTGTAAGTTGGCCAGAAAAGTCATCCATTAATTTTAAAAAATTTCAATTGTTTATGTTTTAGAGAACTGAAATTCGATATAATATCAGCGATATAAAATTTAATAATAAAACGAATTCGGCTTCGTTCACTGAGTTGTTAAATACTAGACAAAAAATGTCATGCAAGTACGATATACAGACCTTTTTGTTGTGTGCACTAATTCTATTGCAAAGACATAGTTTACTTATTTCATACTACATCAGTTGCATTATTAAAGAATTATCTATACAACTAATCTTTTCATCAAATTTAGTGTCGTTATTAAAATTAAAAAATTGAGCTTGCTGCGTTATTGGTATCCGTTCATATATACCTGCCGATTGTTCGCACGCAGCGCCGCTAAGTTCTCGATAACGATGCAATTGTGGGTATATTGCTTTCAACTGACATTATATTGGATGAGTGCATAAGTTCGTGCCCGATTTCAAGTGCAAACTAAAATTGAAATTTTTTACGGATGCCTGATTCATAGAAATCGCGCGGTTTCTCGTTGAAAAAGGTGTCAAGGTGGTTTTTGACGTCTTCTATATTTTTAAATTTTTTTCCATTCAAATTGTTCTGCAGCGATCGAAACAAATGATAATCAGAAGGAGCAGTATTATAAACCCCTAAATTGAAACATTGAGCGCTGAACAACTGTCAAAAATCCTCATGGCCATACAATTTGTATGGGATATCCCACAATGACGCGGCGTCAATTTTGAGCAAATGGAATTCTCAATTTCGACAGCGCGGTATATGATGAAGTTAGATGTGAAGGATAAAAGTGGGACAGAAAGAAGAAAAAAATGACGAAGAGAAATAGGCAAATGGCAGACAAATTTGGCAAATGAATTTTATTTTGCAAATAATATGAGAAATATTCGCTGAAAAATTAATTAAACTGTTGGAGACTCAATTTTGGCGACCGATTAAGCTCGTGGTATCTTATTTGAAATAAGTGCAATTAATTTATTAAAGGATCTCTAAATGACACGAGATTGAAGAGGAAGAGAAAACGCCAAAACGTTAGCGCTTTTATTAAGGGATAGCGCGCATTGCTATTCATTGGCGTTAGGAAACGCAATGCCGAACGTCGAACGCTTAGTTATATCAGTGAGTCGGTTAAAGATTTATAAAATTTTTTTAATTTATTTTAACCGCTATATATAACGAGCTCAACAATTTTTAATTTATTCATTGTCAAATTACTTTTATAAAAATATACTTAAAATTAGAAGTTTTAATATGCAATATTTAATAATTAAAGAGATTTTAAAACGTATCTACTACTACACCTACCAAAAATCTACCTAAACTTGAGCATTTGTTACTGTCTTCCAGAGCTGCCATCATTTTAATAACAATATTTCACCACAACAACTTTTATGACGTCATTTCGGGGGTGGAAGTGATTTTCAGAATTAAATTAGTTAATTAATTTTTGGTTCGGAAATTATTTCAATAAAAATTCATTTGAAAAAACAATCGAGAAAATATTCGCACTTTTGTGAACGTTATAAAAAAAGAACTGAAGCATGTTAAAATTGCTTCACTGTATATTTGTCCACGTTAAAACAAAAAGATAATCAATTCTTGGTTAAGCGTAATAAGCAGTAATTTGTATGAGCTTGAATTCAAAGGAAATTCCATTAAACTTTTCTACCTAAAAAAGCTTTTTTTTTTGCTTTTTAAGATATTATTTTCATATAATACCACGCCTTATTCTCTTACCGCTTAAATAGGAAGATAAAAGTAATTTCAAAGCATTTGGAACAGCTGCGACCGAGACCAGCCAAATATCACTCATACGCAGCAGCGTACCAAATATTGTAGATAAGAAAAATCTTCATTTGGAATCAAAAAAGTATTCAAAATAACATTTGTTTTATATGGATTAGTACATATTAAGCGCACTATATTGTAAAATTACCTTAAACTTTGTTAGATGTTCGCTTCAATTTTCAAAATATGTTGAATCAATGAGATCTTCTACCTCCTTTTCTTGTATTAATTATGGCTTTTTAGAAGATGCGTGTGGTGTGGAATATAATTGCTTTGTGTTTCGTCTTCATGTACTAATATCTTTCTATAAATCTCTGTTGGAGACATTCAAAGAAACATTTACACATACATAAATTTTACAATGACATGTACATGAAACAGGTGTGGTCGCATCATATCGTTGCATTGATAACTTACAACATTTCCTCTCTTACCCACAATGTCTCAAGCAATTTTTTATTATTGACAGAAAGCTCAATAAATTCATTAACCTGGGATGTCTTCTTCTTTTCTGCATAGAATACCCATGTATGGTAATATTTTTTATTATTTAAAAAAAAATTGTTTACTCGTTTCGAATTGCACTCTCTGCAAGAACCTCCCCTCACTTCGGTTTTTACCATTGATGAAGAAAGTTTCATATTCTCTTAGAAAGCTTATCTTCACCGCCACACATTCAATAAAGGCTAAGCTTTCGCGCCAAACATAACTGAGTACAAAATTAGAGTATAAGTAGAGTTGGCTCCGATATTGTCAAGTAGTCAAATGAATGTAGGGCATCCCAGTATATTCATGTGTTTTAGTACCAAGCAGAACAATATCACAAAAAAAAATTAAAAAAGTTAAGGTTAAGTAAACTTCTGATCTGAAAACATAAGCGAGTAATAAAAATTCTTCGACTTTTCAGAGAAAAGCCCTGCAAAGAATCTCTTAAGCAGTTATTTATTCTGATTGACTGACAGATCAACACATGAGAATGATGAGCGACTTTTAGAGTTTGGCTTTAGTTCGCCTAAACAGGACTTAACTTTTCAATTGACCACCACCTGTTAGTAAGAGTGATTCTGCGCTGCATTTTAAGGCTGATATTATGTCTTGTCCTCGTTAATTACCAGAGCCCATATATTTCTTGTCTAGTTTGCTGACGACGCGGTTCTTTTGGGCTCTACTGGGCTCTGCCGCTCTTGTTATTTTCTTCATCAATAAATTAAAAAATCAGACCATAAAGCACCACCTTAGCCGACCCTTCCCGACTCTCCTGAAGGTGCTTTTGGTGCTGCTCAGCATCGATTAACACTGCCTTAGAAGTATTGCGGGGATACGAGGCGCATAGAGGCAGCTCCCTTTCGTGCTATAGAAGGCAGATGAAGAGGTGGTGTATATCGATCCCATTCACAGTCCTTCTGCAGGATTTGGCAATTTACCAAAACTGCCGCCACACTAATGAGGTCCAAACAGTTTTTCAACGATGGACTTTCAGTTCTTCGCTGCCATATTTAAATAGCTCGGCGGGCGTCTGTAATACGAACTTTTCCATAGTAGGATAAGGGAATGTCTGTTTCATGGTAATCGCTTAGGGAATCGAGTTTCATTTTCACTGGCATTCAGGAAGCTATAAAAGTATTGCTTTCATTAATTTAGTATAATGTGGCCAACAATTGCTCGATCGCCTCTCTCTACTACACAAACAAAAAAAAACTTTAGCAACGCCGTACTATGTTTTATATGTTGTAGCATACTTTTAGGCTTTCTACCTACATTAACGGTTTGAGGCATAACCCAGGTGATGATGGGATAATCGGTGGTTGTTGAAATAGTCGAAGCGTTCACTAATTAAAAGAATAAGCGTCGAGATATTGTGTTGAATATAAGACTGATGGGTACCGCATGGGTTAATCTAGTTGTTGACAAATCTCTCACCAATAGTTCACTTCAACGCTGATAAACTGTGAACTCGAAACCTGATTATTTCTTTCCCAAAATCAATCGACATATACTTATAGCTAATTTGTATGTATGTATGTATGTATTGTATAGTACATGTACTTGAATGCTTCACAGCTGAATTAAGAAAGTAAATATTTGAGATCTCATTATTAAATCGAGCTTTATAGTGTGCAAACATGTTTTGTTCTCCAAAAAAATTTACATTAGTAATTTGCCTAATTTTTCTTACTGTTATCCACTATCAACCGATAACAGTGCAGGCGGCGCCAAGTTGTGATGGCGATTGTTTAGAAGACAAATTGAATGAGATTTTATCAAAGTGAGCAATTTGCAAATACATATACATATGTACATATATATTTTATATTTTAATTAAAATATATAAAAAATATACAAACAAGTGCTATATATCATAGAGTGCATATAATCGGGTACTAAGAGCTCCTTTCTTTTCAGATTGAAAACATTAAATGGCAAAGTTGAAACCCTTTCAACACATCCTGAAATTGAGCCATCAGCATCTTGTACGCATCACCCACATGCGCATCGTAAACAACATGGAACGGACAAGTAGGAAACAGAAGCAGATATAATTTTAAATAAATGCGCAAACATATAAATAATTCCTCTTTATTTCCATAGTCTACAAGAGGTCGAGTCGCATCACAAACGTTATCACCACGCCCAAAGCTTGCGCTCCATGCACACCTCGCCATCAGTAGGTGGTGGCAACCACAAATGCTCGGATAATTTGGCACAGATTTGTCAAAACGTTGGTGTGAGTCAAATTCAGCTGGACGATACCAAAGTGTTGCCCTTCGGTGTACTTTGCGATGCCGAACGTTGGATTGTCGTCCTGCAGCGTTTAGATGGCGCTGTTGCATTTCATAATCGCACATGGAACTCGTATAAGCAAGGTTTTGGCAGTGTTGGTGAGAAGAGTGAATTCTTTTTGGGCTTACAACATTTGCATGAGCTCACCTTCAGCGGTTTCTTTGAGCTACGCATTGATTTGGCGGATTTCAAGGGCATTGAGAAATACGCGCATTACAGTGATTTCAGTGTCTTCAATGAACGTGCTGACTACAAGTTGGGTATATTAGGTGTTTATCATGGCACGGCCGGTGATTCTTTCATGTACCATGAGAGCCAGCAGTTTAGCGCAATTGATCGTGATAATGATGCCAAATTGCAAGGTAGCTGCAGTGAGGAATATAATAGTGCTGGCTGGTTTAAGAATTGTATGGAAAGGTTAGTTTGTAATTGGAGAAAACAAAGTAACATTTTAACGGTTTTGAATTTAATATATTTACTTATTGTACCATTTTTGTATTTTCAAGTAATCTTTTCGGTAATTATTTGCATGGTGAGACGGATAAGTTTAAGGAAGGTATGTATTGGGAAACCTTCCATGGGCCGGAATATTCTCTAAAGCAAGTCAAAGTGTCTATCCGTGCTAAATGTTAAATTCCAATATAATTCGAGTAGAATAAAAATAAATAATCATTACGTAACAGAATCGTTTCTTCAAAATGCTTTATGATAAATTAGATTTTTAATAAAATGAAAGAAAAAAGATAATATTATTATCGACTCGGACCATGCACTCGCCTATCCTCAGCAAAAAACTGCCAACAAGCACAAGAAGCTGACAGCCAATCCCTCGACTTTCGTTTCTACTCTCAGAGGATCCTCATCAGCAACGCGGTGTAAGGTTAAACGTAATTTCAAGCGCCCTATGTATATATTCAAGCTGAACTTTAGGCTTTTGACCAGGCCAACGAGCATCTGGAGCGATCGAAAAGGGCCTGATTCATTGGTCGATCCTTGATCGAGCTACTTGGTTCAAGACCGCTCCCTAAGCATTAAACGGAATCATTATTCAATAAAGATTTATTAATTTTTTTAAATAATCGATTACCGCTACAAAAAACATCTCTGACATTGCAGTCAGCTGACTGGTGACGTTTCGATAGTGACAGCAAATGTCATTTTCTCGCTGACGCAAAGTGGAATTTTATACGCTTTTTGTATAAGTTGATTTTTTTATTTATTTTCAAGAATAATTTAATCAATTTCACAGCTAAACAGTTTACAAATTGTCAACTTAATGAAACGATATGCTACATAGTGAAAAAATTCACCTGCAGTGGTTTTCTATTAGCATCAATATATGTATGGGTGTTTCTGCTGGCAAAGAAGACGCATAAGTGGTCATAGATTAAGAACACTCCATTGGTGAAACCAACAACCGGCCGTATTGAATATCTATATAGAAACGACACGCTATATATTAAATAATGCCCAAAATGGCACAAGTAAAGGATCTACATTTAGGTAAAACTCTAAATGATTTAGAAAAGCACTCCGAAATTCCAGACGCTCGTACTAAAAAAACTCAAATGTAAGTAAATATACATGAATAGACATATGTTTTGTGCAGCTACCTATAGTATATAATTGGCCAAATGCCCAAATGCATAAAATTATTTAATAATTTTCAAACAGATTGGTGGAATCCGCACGAAAACTATTACGTGAAGCAGATCGTTTTTATAGGGAAGGCGATGAAGAGTTGGCTTACGTACTATACATGAAATACTTCAATTTACTTCATTGTATACACGGAAAACCTGACTATGCAGAGCATAAGCAAACTGTACGTCAAGTTCTTGGTGGCAATTCTAATAATAAATTGACCATGAATAAGCTGGAGGAGCTTAGCACCTCCCTTACGCGACGTTATGAAGCTAAGCAACTTGCTAATACAACAGTGCAATCAGCGGCATTAGCAACACCCTCACTAAAGCACAGTGAGCGTGTACGTGATTACAATGAGCTTTCCGCTTCGGAGAAATTTGATCTCTTGAAAGGTGATTCCGCTACCACAGCAACGTCGAATGCATACAACAGTTACTATACGCTGCAATCTTTAAATGTTATGAAATGTCAAGAATTGTTTGAACGTATGAAGCAGAACAACGTACTGATAATGGATTGTAGACCAAGAATAGATTATGAGATGTCCCATCTCACATATCATTACTGTTTTAATGTGCCCGAAGATATTATTACGGCAGGGTAAGAGATTATACAATTTCAATTTAATTTACCTACATTTAATTATAAGTTTATGTTTTTGAATAGCATGTCAGCCGGTAAATTGCAAGATAAGCTAGATAATGGTTCGAAAGTGTTATGGTCAGCACGATCAGTAAAAGAACAAGTAGTATTAATTGATTGGAATACTAAAGATGGCAACCCACCGCCAACTTCAACGATTGGTATATTACTTGAAATTCTGCAAAATGTAAGTTTTACTAAAAAAAATTTAGTGTAGAAAATGAACATATATTACCTTTTCAGTGGGATCCAGATGTCATTTACCGTTCACCTATTAAAATTCTTCAAGGAGGTTACGAGTTTTTTATTATGATGTATCCAACATTATGCACCAATCCCAGTGTACAAGCCCCTCAACAAAATAACAATGATCTAGATTTACTTGACGAAATTGAATATCCTTCAATAAATGATATTACCATGAAGGATGAAATTAGTGGTCAAAGTTATACTCCCAGGCCAGGTAGTAGCATGGCACGACCACTTACATTCACCGTAACGCAGCCTGTGCCGAGCGTAGATCGTTCTAGTAAAATGGCTGCAATGAAAACATACGAGCAAAAGCAAAAACCCATTGTGGAATTGGCTAAAGAACAAGAAGAATTATTAGAGAAGGCACAAGCTAACGATGAACAATTAAAAAGGGCTTCACAAAAACTGGACACTATTTTCGAGAAAAATAAGCAAAGCCCAGAAAAGAAACCAATGACGGCGACTGAAACGGAACTGCTTTACTATATAATGCAATTGGAAAGTGCTGCTGCAGACTATGTAAGAGATAAAACTAAACTAACTATAAAAAAATTCAGCTAACTTTTTAATTTAATTTTCCTTTCATTTATAGAAAACTGAAAACGATCGTCTATTAGATGAAATAGAAAAGTATAAAAGCAATAAAAAAGATCAAGAACATGAGTTAACACCTAACGAGAAAGAAGATCTGGAAGAAGCCACTCGACAAATTGAACATAAAATACAAGAACGGCAAAAACTGGACGAGCAATTGGTACGTGAAAAGCTACAACGTGACCAACAGCTGGCTAAGACAATAGCGCGTTTTCCACGAACGTCACTCGACAACGAAGATGATATGCCCAAACCAAAAATACCACAATTCGATCGGTCTGTAAAACCACATTTGTCTGCTACAACAACACAGAGCAGTGCATCCACATATATAATAGATAGACAACGCGATTTTTCACCAATGCCCGGTGCAATTGTAAGTATTTTACACAAATGTTTATATTTTCTTATTCGATTTGGATTTGTTTTTAGTTAGTGATGAATCACATGGTAAAAGCATTGTATAGCTTAAAAGCATACAGTAGACTCATGTGAGCCGCTGACGTCATAAGCTAACCACGTCTCAGTGGTCAGTGTGCTTATAACATATATATATATATATATATATATATATATATATATATATGCAAAGTGATAAAAAGTTTTGTATGTTTTGTATGTAACTGAAAATAAAATTGAATTTAAATGTTATAGATTGAAGCTAAACATTACATTTTCCTCTTCTACTTTGGATCATGAAAAATTTCCAGAATTTTAAAGACTCAAGATTTAAGAGTTCACAAATTATAACTTTGTTAAATTAAAAAATGTATGCCTATTTTAAAATCGATTCTTGTTCACGTTCCCATAGTGCTACATACACTATGCACATAACTATGTACATACATGTTTATGCATCATTCCTTCTTAGTCACGTTTCATAACATTACACTCGCGTCTTCTGACAACCATGTCAGCAGTCATCAGGCTGTCTACGTTGAATGTGTTAATGACCGACTGTTATTTTCATTAACGTGACCCGCCTACAGCTGATGTGCTCGACGTATGTACATATATGTCTACATTATTGACATACATACATATACTTGTATGCATAAATATCTAACGACTATCACAAGTACTATATTTCACCACTCAAAAACTGTGGAATGCGCCAATTTTCAATAGCCATCTAAGAAAGCAAATCAATGCGTTTTGGGTGTGTGAGTGTGTGGCTATCTTGCACACATTATTTTTCGCATGCAATCTGCTCGCCAACAAATAAAATACATATATGTTGGTGTATGTGTGTATGTGTAAGTTAGAACGCCTAAAGATAGGCAAGTCCAAAGCTATGGCATATGCTTCTTCACTTAAATGTGTTTGTGAAATTGCTTTTCTCATCACCACTATTGTATTCGGCAAAAATGTGCATATATGTCCAACTGTTTCTTCATTTTTCCGGCGTAACGTAGTTTTTTACCACACAAATAATTACAACCTTCTTTTAGTCTGTCATTGTCTCTACTCAAAGCATGTTGTTGTGCGCGCTAAACGAAACGCCATCTATTGCCAACCTAAAGCCAAAAATTGTACAATCGTTTACACATTTTATAAGTCAAATACGTAACATTAATTGTAATAAGAATTTAAGATGATCGTGGTTGCTGGCGTAAAATTGCATATACCGGCGACGCATATATTAATTTACACATCATTTTTTCCACTCAAGCGCGTGGGTATAAATACATATTTGATAACTGTATTTAAATTAATCGAAGTCAAATAAAAAAACTAAATAATTTATCGTAAAAAAAGTATAACCATAATAAATATGGTGCTGAATATCACTGAAAAATAATATGAAATGCAGCACACTTTTAGGCGTATTAAACTATTTATTTTTCTTTATGGGATTTTACTATTTTTTTTAGTCTGCACATAAATACCAGTCTAAAATCCTCTCGGTTTCGACAATGCAAATTTTTTTTGTAACATTTGAGAAATTTTTTGAATATTATATTTGAATTGGGACATAAACTCTAAATTAGAAACGTAAAAATTCCAAATTTCTGCAATATTTAACCACATTAAAAAGTCTTTCCATAGTTAAAATATAATTTTTGCGATACTTTCACACAAATTTGAGAAACAAACCAACTATTCGAGTTCTTTTTAATACATTTTCATTCCTACGTTGATACAACCGATAAAATTTTACTTTTTATAAAGATAATTTCTGCATTTAAGACAAAGAACTGCTTTATACAAATTTAAAACTGAGTCCTTGTAAGTTTTTCGTTGAACATAATTTCACATTGCATATAATCGATGATGCGGTTCCACTTTAAATCTTAAACTAAATTCAAACTAAACAATAATATTTTAGAGTTAAAATATTTATGGAATTTAGAAAATGCTATACCATTCGGTTTATATCGTTTTCCGCTCCGTATTCTGCAAACAATTTCATTCGAATCGAAGGCGGTCACTACAGTTGGATTTCAAAAACCTAATATATTCAAAAAACATCTTAACAATTACTTACCTTTCTAGATCAATCTTTTAAAACTTTAAATAATCTAATTTTAGAACAAAAATTTAAATAATATATTGAAAACAAATCTTCAAACAATTATTTTCAAACAGCTCAATTAATCCAATTTAAAAAAAAAAGTTTAAATTAAATATTGAAAAAAAAGTTTCATATAATTTAGTTTCCAAAAAACTTCAAATAATCTAATTTCAGAAAAAAAGTCAAAAAATAAAATTTAAAAAAAGGAAAAACTTCGAACAATCTAATTTTAAAAGGCTCAGATAATATAATTTAAAAAAATTAAATACTTTATTTAAAGAAATTTTTACATAATCTAATTTGGAAAACTTCTAATAATCCAATTTCAGAAAAAAAATTTCAATATAGTAATTTCAAAAAAAACATTAAATAATCTAATTTCAAAAAGCTCAAATAATCTAATTAAAAAAAAATTAATAAATTATTAAAAAAAATTTCATGTAATCTAATTTCCAAAAAACTTCAAATAATCTAAATTCAGAACATAAAATTCAAAAAAACTCAAATAATCTTATTTTAAAACGCTCAAATAATCTAATTTAAAAAAAAATTAAATAATATATTTAAAAAAAATCTTCGTATAATCTAATTTCCAAAAAAAATTCATATAATCTAATTTCAGAAAAAAAAATTTCAAAAAAAATGCAAATAATAATAATATAATTAAAAAAAAATTAAATAATATATTTAAAAAAATCTTCGTAGAATCTAATTTCAAAAACTTCTAATAATCTAATTTCAAAAAAAAAATTTAAAAAAATTCAAATAATCTAATTTTAGAAAAAAAAATTCAAACAATAAAATATCAAAAAAAAAAATAAATATAGTTTCAAAAGGCTCAAATAATCTAATTAAAAAAAAAAATAAATAATATATTTAAAAAAATTTTCTATAATCTAATTTCCAAAAAATTCAAGTAACCAATTTCAGAAAAAAATCTTTAAATAATCTAATTTCAAAAAGCTCAAATAATCTAATTTCAAAAAAAAAAATTAAATAAAATGTTATAAAAATCTTCATATAATCTAATTTCCAAAAAACTTCAAATAATCTAATTTCAGAAAAAAAATTTCAAAAAAAAATTCAAATAGTCTAATTTTAGAGAAAAAAAGTCAAACAATAAAATATCAAAAAAAAAACCTCAATAATATAGTTTCAAAAGGCTCAAACAATCTAATTTAAAAAAATAAATAAATAATATATTTAAAAAAATCTTCATATAATCTAATTACCAAAAAATTCAAATAACTAATTTCAGAAAAAAATCTTTAAATAATCTAATTTCAAAAAGCTCAAATAATCTAATTTCAAAAAAAAAAATTAAAAAAAATGTTAAAAAAATCTTCATATAATCTAATTTCCAAAAAACTTCAAATAATCTAATTTCAAACAAAAAATTCAAACAATAAAATCTTAAAATAATCTAATTTCAAAAAAAAAAGTAAATAATATATTTAAAATAAATTCTTACATATTCTCTAGAGTGCAAGTGTCGAAGCTTGACCAAAAAAAAAAACAATTTTAGTCTTAAATTGAAAAAACTTTAGTAAGGCTTACATTTCATCAACCAAATGCGGATAAAATTTAGCATTCTTATAGATTTGAGAAAAATGCCAGGGTATTAAAGTTTCTCGATTTAGGGCACAGATTAAACTTTAGTTCCCATTGACAAGCGTTTCTAGTTAAGCTCATCTCAAATCACCTTTTCTTGCATATGTATGTATGTGCATACAAACTTATAACTATGTTAACTAATTTTTTATATGCACATAAACATATACTACATACATATTTGCATACGTATATATTGATCAATTCAAGGTTAATCACATTTATACATTAACATTTATTTATTTGCTTAGGGTCGCGGTTTGACCGGCCTAAAAAATCTGGGTAACACCTGCTATATGAACAGTATAATACAGTGCCTCAGCAATACCCCACAACTCACCGAATACTGTATAACCGATAAATATAAGAATTATATTAGTCGTAGTAATAAGACGAAAGGACATATTGTCGAGGAAGTTGCTGCGCTCATTAAAGTTTTATGGAATGGCAACTACAAGTGTGTGGCCAGCAAGGACTTGCGTGTAAGTCTATAATAAAATTTTATATTTTTACATACATATGTATGTACATATGTATTTAGGTATGTATATGGATGTGTGTAATGTGCGCATATACATATATACATACATACATATGTACATAAGTACAATAGTAGGTAAGACCAGGTGGTGTGTAAAGTGTAAATAAATAAAAGTGTCCTCTTGCAGTGGCATATCGCCTATTGTTAATGTACCATTTGTTGGGCATGTGTGAACATACATATATAGTACGTGGGATGCTATTAAAATTTTTAAATATGATATTTGCAAATATTTTACGTCAAAGTTGACATGGATATTAGCTTCTTTCTGTGAGAAATGGGAAAATTACGCTCTTTCGATGCAATTTTTTTTTTTTTGTTTTTTGCCTTACCGAACGCGGTTCAGAAACGATTGATACCGCCCAACAGTTCACTAATATGCCATCATTTGTTTAGCGAAAATTTCAGAAAAACAAGGTAAACTCTTTAACTAAAAAAATCATCTATGTGACAGCATAGACTGTGGGCGCAAGGTAGGTTTTCAATTGCGGTTGTCTCGGCACTTTTCGAGTGTTTTTCTAACATAAAGTAAAAAAGATCCTTCTAAACATTCATCAGCCGTTCAGAAGCAGTTAGCTCCCTCCATTTGATGAAAAAAATTTAAATACTCACCCCAAATTGAAAGAAAGGCTCGGCCCAAAGGTCACATTCCGCACAACAGTCACGGTGTGCTATCTAAAGTTCGTTCCTATCCGAATTTAGGCCTATATTTCTTTATTTATTTTTTAATATTTTTACATGTTCTTTTTCATATAATTTTTTATTAAATATTTTGTATTGAAAAAAAAAATAGTTGACTAATTTTTATTTTTCATACAACACAATCTATACAATGACAGTACGTCTTGGGACAATATCAGCAAATATTTCGTGGCATTGAACAACAAGATTCCCACGAATTTCTCACCATACTCATGGATTGGCTGCATTCCGATTTGCAAACATTAACTGTACCCGAAAAGCCACGTGATAATATAACAGCCTCCGAAAAGGCGTGGCTCGAATTTACCAAAGCAAAGGAGAGTCTCATATTGCATTTATTCTATGGCCAAATAAAAAGCACCGTAAAGTGTGTCGATTGCAACAAAGAGTCCGCCACATATGAATGTTTTTCGAATCTAAGTCTGGAACTGCCGTCAAATGCAAATGTCTGCTATCTCAGCCAGTGTATGGATATGTATTTTAGCGGTGAACGTATACACGGCTGGAATTGTCCGAATTGTAAAAAGAAGCGTGATGCTGTAAAAAAATTAGATATTTCAAAACTGCCACCGGTGTTGGTTATACATTTCAAAAGGTAAAATTTGTATTAATATTCTATTCAAAGTTGACCTGAGAATAATCAATTTTATTTCGCTTTTTTTTAGATTTTATGCCGATACCGATGCTATTGGCAATTCATATAAGAAGAAACAAAATTATGTACGCTTTCCACTGGAAAATCTCGATATGACGCCGTACATTGCCAAATCTGAATCGCGTTCAGTGACGCCGAAAACGTATCAATTATACGGTGTCTCAAATCATTATGGCTCCATGGAGAGTGGTCACTATACGGCATTTTGCAAAAGCGGCAATTATGGCAGGTGTGTAAGAGTGAAAATAAAACAAATTAGTACAATTTCTTAATTTTCCCTAATCAAATCCGTATTCTCATTGAACAGATGGTTTAAGTTCGATGATCAAGTCGTTTCACCATTGGACACCTCAAATGTTGTTTCCAGCGCTGCCTACATACTCTTCTACACCTGGTTGCCGCCAATTCAAATAAGCGAAAATAATAACGCAAATTAGCCTTATAATCACAACTCACCAAGTGTAAATATTGAGTTGTGAAAATAGTAACTCCTTATAATTTTTTGGATATATATATTTTTTTTTTATCTACGTGTAGCGATAAAGCGATTGCATTTGTTCATTCTTTTACATATGTATGTAAGTACATAATGTATGGAGCGACTGTGGTAGGTGTTTTGTTAGTGCGCTCGGTCTAGTCGCTTTTAATAACTTGAAGTTGTTGATTTAAAGAGCATTTTTTTATTTGTTGTTTTACTTTTTATTTTGAATTTCGGCCAGCAAAGCAACTAAGCTCATTTTAAACCGGAAATTAATTAATTCTATAAAAGAAAAAGATGAAATCAAAAGTATGTTTCTATATCTGTTTACTCTATTAATTGTTATAGCATATTACAAATAGACGTTTAATACACAAAAGCAAAAAATTACATTTATTATACATTTAATTATATTCTTTATATATATAATTTAGCAAAACAATACATACATTTATATGTATCTACTCCTACTACTTAAAATATGCTTTCAATAATATGAAAATGAAAGAAAATTAAAAATGTTAACAATATTGAAAGTTATTCTACTAAATTTAAACCAAAAAGAAGTTAAAATATTAATTATAACTTTAAATGAAATTAAGACTACACGTAAAAAAATGAAAGAAAACATAATTGCTAAATGAAATGTGCAAATAAAATATACATCAAATTAATAATAAAATCATAAACACGAATTTTACAAATATTCAGAGTTTTTGAAAATCCTAACTGCATATAACCACTGAGATAATCGCAAGTGGCTGTTCGATATAGTTGTTTTTCTTGTTGCTCTACTTCGCTTAGAAAAAAGAAAGAGTTAGCCTATGTAGTCGATGTGATCTAATGGAAGATACAGACCTTTTCCGACAAGAGTAAGAAGTAAGTAAAAGAGTGGGTTAGAAGCGTGCGCGAACTTATTGCATGCTGGATATATCTTGACTCTGCATCGGTATGAGTTAGTCTACCACAGCATCTACATTTTAATTTTGCAATACGATCTTACCATACACCGATAAAGTGCTTTTTAAAGTTATCTCTGTGAATGGCGTTGACTGTCCAGCGGTTCTGTTGCTTAATGGAGTCCATTAGACCAAGTACTGTCTTCTTTAGATGACTTGGCGGTGTTTCAGCGTCCAATTTGGTTTGTGTTCATTCGAACTTAAGGTTATTTATTTTCGAAATTTCAACGTCGGCTTTCATATTCCGTTCGAATCATCTTACGGGTGAAGAGGGTAACCGATGATATCGCCGATTGTAGTTGTCGTGCAATTAAGAATAGTTAATCCATCTTGGACTCGCTTAAGAAACGAAAATGCGATCAAATAATAAGCATATCAACCAATTTTTGCAAAGCTCAATTTATCAACTTCCCACCGAAAATTTTAAAAACTCAACAATTTCACGTTTTAGGTTATATTTAATCAACTTTAATTCTAATTTTTACCGTTAATACATTTACAGTGTTGTGATCTATGTATATTGTGTTGAAAAAAAACTCGACCAAACAGAAAACCAAACAAACCAAAATTTTAAATTCGTCTAATTTATCATTAAATACTATTAATGTTAGTCACAATTTTTATTTAACATTACCCGCTAATATTTAAATCAAATAATTATATATAGTACGTACATATGTAGATAAAAAAAAATTTAGACCAATAAGTAATTATTTTATGAAAAGGAAAACCAAATTTCACATATAAATATCTGCTCAAGGTAATTAACTTTATACTGTTTCGATAATGCCTCGGCGACGTTGCTCACTCGATGCTGCATCCTCATTGCCAATGAACGACGTTTCTTCGGAGCTCGCAACTGGTGCAACTACCTCTTTGGCAATAGCGACACCATTTAATTGGCTTGCATGATGCAGCGCTGGGGAATGCGTTTCGCGAGATGTACTGTTGTGTACCGATATAGCGATCTGCTCATAGTTAAGCGCACGAGATGGTGTAAGTGCACGCGTTGGTGTATTTGTCTGCGTAGAGTTGGCACGCGAATGGGGACTATTGTTGCGTGAGTGCTGGAAGTCCTCCAGAGGGATTTCTTCAGAACTGTAATGAAGCAAATTATATTTTATTTTTTAATATTTTAATTTTTTTTTCTATTTTTTTTTTTAGACACATTTAAAAGGACAATTAGTGCCTACCGCGGTCTTGGCATGCGTGGACTATTATCTCGGGAACGTGTTGAAGTGCGATTTTGTGAACTCTCACGCGAGCCACCTGGCGAATGTTCACGTCCCAGCGTTGAGTTGACATCACGCGTTTGTGATGTTGATGAATGTGAGCTGGAATTGGAGCTGCGTCGTCGTGGACGTCCAGCACTTTCATTACGTATGCTAAGCAATAAAAAAATTCAAATCATTTCTGCGCAATTAAAAAGTTGGTAACCACTAACCCTTCGATAGAACGATTCTGTGCCATTTGCATGCGGCATACACCACCACTATTATTCGTTTCACGTTTTAAAGCCGCAGCAAAGCCGGGTACACGATTTGCCGTAGACAAGATGGGACGGTGTTCACGTGATGAACGTGAACTGCTGCTTGACACACTGCCCGCACGTAGACCAGCTACTGCGTAGACGGGTGAATCAACTACTTGACCGGGCATTTCAATCAATTGTGCAATTTGATACATTTTTTTCTGACGCGCCTTACTCCGACCCTGTAACACGGTTTTAAGTAATCCTATTTAATTAGATTAATTATTTTCGTACCTTCGTCAATCTTTGCTTCGCTGCCATACATCTTATGTGATCGTCAAAGAGAAATTTAGCTGATAAAAGTGGCGTACGGTTATGTGTCGCACCACCACGGTGTACTGTGATATGCAGACAACGTGAATCATCCTTATCGCCAACCACTTCAACATCCTGAAGGAAACCGACAAATTTAGCAACGCCCCAGCCAAGTAGCTTAGCATCGGGTTCAACGAGTATTAATTGTAGCGAATCAATAACAAGAAAACGGCGTTGCTTCGTACTCTCTTTGGTGATAACCGTACATGCAATCAAGTCACTGTTATCTAGATATGACAAAAATTTTATTCATATTTTTGTTATTGTATTCAATTTAAACCAAAATGTTTGCACACTTACTTAAGTCTAACACATTATCCACTTGCACAAGATGCATCGTGTTCGTTAAGGGCAATAGTGTTTCCTTTTCGTTTAAAAATTGTTGACACGTTTTACGTAGGAGAAAAAAATCACGAATAGCACGTCGAGCCTTTTCCACTTCGCCACAAGGCAAGCGACGTGTGAAATTTATACCTGTCAACGGCGTGCCAGTGGGTGGTAGAAGTATCGTTGAATCCATGCATAGGAATTCGACATTCAAATTTGTTTTGCGCATTTCGTTAAATTCATCCTCAAAAAGATCCAGAAATATATCCTCTGATTTATAGAAATTACGTAATACAACCATAGACTGATTGCGTGCGGAAAACAAGGCATCACGTTGTGCCTCCGTGAAACAGGCATCGTCAGTGCAAGGCTTGGTAAAGGTTATGAGCAGCTGCAGTGCAATTTCAATTGTTATGAGTCGTATGCGACAAGCTGTGGAAAGTAGAATGTGAAAATATTAAAATTTGCTTCTTATTTTTAGCAAATTAAATTCTTTGTTGTTCATACAAGGCTGATTTGAGAGGGTAACGATGTGCAGTAGACGTTCTATTAGGTCTGTCCTATAGCTATAAGATCCTTTGGCTGACTGAGAGAGTACCTGTTCGAACCAATCGTTTTTTACACCTATATTAAATTAAAGAAATGTAATTTTTATTGAATGTTAAATTATGATTGAGAAAAATCATATTATTTCAAAATTAGTAATATAGATGAGTTTATACAGATGCAGATAAATGTGTATGTATATAGTATAAAACATACACAGATAAAATTAAGCTGCGTTTTTTACGTACCATCTACAGTGTCGATTTATGAAGATTTACATATAGTAGTGAGAAAGGCATCACCATTCGTTTTTTATATGGATAGCATTACAAATGAAAAAGTAGAAAATAATGATTTACAGTAAATGCATTTGTTAGTTAATTTAGCGTTAGTATAAGACGAATATTCGAATGCAATCTAAGATAACATACATTTAACATATAGGCATGATTTTAAGTGAGTTTCGTAACCTTTTCCATAAATAAAAACAGTTTTCCAACGCGTATAACTTTGAATATATTCTCTGAGCTTTCAAATACTCACCCCTGTTGTAGGCCATAGCATAAATGAGGCATAACGCCAAAAGTGCTAAATAGTCATTTTCAGTGCAGTCCAATGCTGATAATACCATCTCTAAAAATGGTCGGCTTGCTTCATTATAAGCTGGAGTATGTTGTACAAACTTCTGCATTTTTTCTTTTTCTTCGTCGGTGATATTTGCTAATTGGGCGTTATTCAAAACAACCTGAGCAGCTGCACTAGCGGTTTCTACAGAAATTTTAAATGTTGCATTCTCCTCATCACTTGTTTTTTCTGTGTTGACGTTTTCCTCTGTATTTAAAACAGCTGTAGCATTAGGCGTTTCTATTGCATTTAAGCTATCAGCTTCATAACTGTGACTTGTTGAATTGGCACCTACAGTCTCCAAAGCTTGTTCAAGACTTTCACGCGGCTCGCCAAATCCTGGCACAACAGCTAATCGATGCTCCACGTAAGCATTTAATATTTCAGCAGCGCCTTCTTTAAAGACACTATGATCACCGTTGAGTATAACCCAGGCCAATGCATGTACTAATGGAGCATGCGTTATCACCAGAAATACTAGTGACAGCAGGTACAATGCGACAATAGATGACACACGTGGATTATTAATTTCTTGTATATCTATATCGACTGGGCGGTTCAAAACCGCAGCTAGATTTTGTGTCACAACTGCTAGAGAGGTGGGTGGTGGCGCTGGGGTAAGAGAAAATATATATAACGGCACAAAAAGTTTATGTAGAAGATGTTCCGTTAGCACTGCGTTTAAGTCGTCTATTTCGAGTAATAATATATCGTTTAGGTAATGTAAATGATCCAAATGCTCTGCTACTAAATTTGAAAGCCTCTGATTAGATTGGTGACTGCAAAAAATTAAAAAAATTTATTTATTTTTATGAAAACGACCAAGTTAATCGTCTTACTCAATGTCGGTCCTTACACAGGTGTCCAACTCCAAAATATGCTTGCCTATAAACCATACAAGGTTACTAAAATAAGGCGCTGCGGTTCTGTGTAAGAACAAAATTATAATGAATTTCGATATATGAATGTATACGTTTCATTTCAGCAACTTACTTGTCTCTGATAAACCTCAACATACTGGCATTTTGTACCTTGTATACATTTAAAGAGATCGTACGCACAGCTATACGAACCATGGACTCAGGATGATTGAAAAATTTAATAGCCTCTGTGTACAGCGGAAAGTCGTTTGTATGCTACATAAAAGACATAATTTAGATTTCATATCACTTCTCATATTATTTACGAAAAGCAAGCTTACCTCATTATAAAAGAAATGTATGGTGTGAGTATTGAGTTTAAGGCTTAGCGTCTTTAAAAATAAAATATAGTACCCCATTACATCTTCATCCGAGAAATCAAACTTGTGCACAATTATGGAATTGACATGATTGTTGCTCAACAGATAATCTATAAAAAGAATATTATAAGTTATTTCAAAAATGACCCAGATTTTTTATTTGCCCAGCATGTTCAAACTTACACAAAGATGTCTCGTTTCGTATGTTTTCAAATAAAATATTTAGCGTTTGCAACAGTTGCACACATACAAAACTCGAACCGCCGCTCTTTTGACGCATTATATGTAAAAAGTAGGATAACATATTTTTTTCAAGAAAGAAGCTGCAAGCAAATAACGTTGTTATCAATGTCAGACATAAACGAATTGTAAAATGCAATGTGTAAGTAATAAAGTTTTTGTTACGCACTCAAACACAGAAGAGTCATGTTGATCACCCCAGATCAGTATTTCTGCAATGCAACGCAGAGATTCTACCAAAAGGCCACGGTTACTTTCTGAAACACTGGTATTCTTTTCGAGTATACTATACAGGTACTTAAGGTGTTCCAATGAAAGACGATTCTTTGGGCGGTTCCAATTTCCTCCAAACCAACTACGACTTCGAAACATTTTTATTTCTTTTGAAATATACGCACTGCTTAAATTTTAACAAACTATTAAACTTAAACTCAAAATCGAGAGCTTCGTTATGTTGCTATAATGCACAATACTTTAGTATTAATTTGTCATTTAATTGCGTTTTCACTTTAGCCTTTAATTGTTCCGTTTAGTGCAAAAAAATAAGTTTTTGCACCCTTTGCATACAACGTTGACACACATTGTTGCTGTAATTTTCTGTCATTAACATATGATCGCATCGTGAATTATAACGGCGTTGTATATGAACAGGACTGCATTTTATAAGCACAAATATTCAAGATCACGCTAAATATATAAAAACATTATTTATGAACGGGCTTACGCTAATATACGTTCTTTGGTTTAACTTTTCGTTTTTATCTCTTAACAATGAAATATTTTGCATTTATTTTCAACCATTTTTTTTTTTAATTTATAAAGTTGATTTTTTTTAATATATGAAATTGGTCGTACAATAAATCAAAAGTTAGGCAAATTTTTACGTATAATCTATGAGTTTAAAAAAATGTTTGGCGAAAATAAATTTTGTTGCATCATGTGTTCTATTAAATAGTATTGTAGTTAAACTTAATTAGGAGTTTGCCAATTAATAAATATAAATCGAAATTTCAATCAGCTTATGAGCAATGCGTGCAACTGAGTGAAATAGGCAGCGTCAGGGAAATTTCTTAGAGCTTATAATAGACGTCATAGTCAATCAGATGATCAACGGGATATATTACTTCTATCTGCTATAGGCTTTAGGATAAAGTAAGAAAATTTCCGTGATATTCTCAAATCGCCTTCATAATCGATATTCTCCCATTCATCGATATTTATTTTATTTGTAAACAACTTTTTTTTTGAGTAAAATGTTGTAAAATCTTCCAAATATTTGATAGTTACATGCAATGTTCTCTAGTCATGGGCATCTGAAAAGACGTACCCCTGAAGGAGGAATACCACGTCCCGATTATATTGAACATTTGGTAGAAGAATATTATACCACTACAGACGTTGGTGAGTAAATAATTAATATGTGAGAACTTGATCTGGATTTATATTAATCTTTTCGTGTGCAGAGGCGAAAGAGCAAGTAACTGCCAATTTAGCTAATTTCGGTTATGATCCTATCAATTGGGAATACCTCAAAGAAGCTAATGCTTTGGATGTATTTGAAGACTGTGTCAAAAGTCCAAATGAACGCCTACAACTTAACGCGCTTGCTGGATTTTGTAATATCTGCTTAGGTAATATTTTAATTATTAATTTCCTATATTCATACATATATATATAAAACATTATTTCTCCTTCAGACCCTGAAGCTTTTAAATTTATTACGAAGTCGGAAATATTCGATCAGATAAAGCTATTGCTTAATACAGCTGAAAATACTGACATACATCTTAATTGCATCGCCCTTTTCTATCAACTTCTTAAATCAGATACTTGCACACAAGAAGGAAAGAATATCATAGCTACATCGTGTATATTAAAAACGATTACACAGTTACGCAACGCAAGCCCAGATCAGCGAGTAAAAAACATTGCCGCGTTATATTGTGAGGATTTTGGTTCACGTGTAGAGGAAACAGTTGATTCTAAAAATGTACTTGCAACTCTTAAAACGATCAAAAAGTGACCTAGCAACCAAATGTAGAAAAATTACACTGGTCAAACGTTTCACACAAACAGAATTGGATCAATTTTCCACCCTTACATCTGATTTAAATTCAATACATTCTGTAAAAACACCGAAAAGCGAACGCAAAGTTCATGGGGCTTTTCTTAACGCCATTGTTGCTGGTATCATAGGTACACAATTGCCGGGCGAAGGTACTATAGTTATAAGTCAAAAATTTAGTTTTCCGAATGCGTGTCGTATTGATACGGATACTTATATTTCAGTTCGTTTAGTTAAAGAACGGAAAATTTCTTTAGTAGAGTACGAATGTCGTCAGGATGAAAATATTGTATTCATAGGCGAAGCTAAACTTTTAAGAAAACAATATGAAGATATATAAATAAACAACATCTTTATTAAAACACTTATACACTATTTTTTAGATGCACGTTTGCCCTCGCCCTTCTTGGGTGCAGCCTTACCGCGCAACCGTCTCATTCGCTTCATTTCCTCTTTGAAATCTTCATGTTCATCACGGAACAAACCATAAGCGCGTAAATTCTTCATGAGTACATGAGTTTCTACGTGTCGTGGATACCAATTATTTAACATATCACGCTTATGCACCGGCTCCTCAGCGAACATACGAACTACCTTCATTGACTTGTCATTTGTATTACGTGCAACTTCGCCAAATATTCGATTAGATAGGTAGTCCATTCGTCGAGCGTATTGTGTGCCTAACTTTATTAACTCATTATATTTATTGGCCGACATTTTACACAAAATGTGTGATTAAAAAGTTTAATAAAAGTAAAGGACTAAATTTACTTTGTTATTATAGTTATGTCATTCACCGACCAAAACATCTGGGTCTTAAGTATACAGAGTTGCTTTTGTACCTATTGGCAAGGTTAGAAAGTGTACAAATTATCGAAATGCAACTGTACCGTGGTAATAATTATTATTACTATTATTCCTTTAATCCAAAATATTGTTGTTATTGTTGTAGTAGCGGTTCGCTAACCCCGCTTAGGTACAGGTTTGATCAATTTAAACCGCCGAGGTCATCTAGTGGGAGGTCTAGAACACGAGCTGTTTGGACAGGATTGGACTAATGAGGGAGGGGGTTAGATGAGTCGGCTTAAGAGGCATGTGAAGAGGTAATTAGTGTCGTGCGGAGACTCTCCACATGCAGAGGTCACACGGGTCTCGGAGTCGTTGTCTGAAAAGGGTGATGGTTTTACTCCGAGAACCCCTTTCACTCTAAGAGAGTCTTGAAGGTGTTGACTGACTTCTGGCGAATGGCGTTTAGTGCCTGTCTGTACGCCGTCCTGTCCAGCGATTGTCTTACGTATTGCTGAATGATGTTTTTCAAGTCGAGTTTTCCCTTTATGATGTGCCAAAGGTTGAGGTTCAGCTTCTATTAGGTCGCCAGTGGTATTTTTCTTTCACTGTTCAAGTGATGCTTCGGCGACATCAGGATGTTTCTTGTCGCAGTCCTGAGAGCGGTGTTCTGGCAAGCTTGTAACTTCTTCATCTGCGTCACGTTCGTCCTCGACGCCCAGATCGGTGCAGCATAGCTTACGACCGGCTGGCCAATTGTTTTATAAGTTGCCAGCAAAGTTTCCTTATCTTTACCCCAGGTGCTGCCGGCTAGCGATTTGAGTATTTTGTTGCGGCTCTGGAGGTTTGCGGCAATTGCTGTCGTATGCGGAGTGAAGGAGTACAGGCTGTCTAGTGTCACTCCCTATATCTTTGGGTTGTTTACAATCTGAATTTTTTTGTCATCGACCTTCACATATTGCTATTATCGTGCAATCATCGGCATACGACTCAAAAGACAGCCGGTTCCACATACCGGAGTTGACCCGCCCGGACTTTCGCCCCTTCGGCGGCATAGCCCCGTTTAGGTCAACAGGCAACATAATATTTTAACTTGTAAGAATTTTCCAACTACAAACTAGGAAGATAAAACTGTTGCGGATGCTGCTGTGCGGTCCACCTAAGAACTGTACTCCAATCAAAGAAGGAATTGTGAATCGGCGTAAATTTATTTGAATTCCCACCTCAGCAAAGACATCTGTTGACATGAACGTCTCGTTAGATGACCTCAGTGACTTAGTCCAACCAGCTTATCCCTAGCAACTAACTTGTCGCTAGGCTATACAAACCACTACGGAAGAAGGTTTTGTTCCCGAAACGCTTAAAGTTGTAGCGTATCGAACCGAGACCACTGGGAGACCAAGATGAAAGCGATCCATTTGGAAAGGCTTGCAACATTTGGATCGGAAGAATCAGATTTATATGAAGGGCAGCTATTGTTATTTGTTAAGTAATAAATAAACGCTCTTTACATTTAAGAACTTATACCGCAAATCTTATGTGTAACATCACTGGATATGTATTTTGTGTAATTCATTACAACTCGTTTATAAGAAACCATTTCAGAATACCTAGTTGGAATTTTGACAGAAGAGGTGATTAAATTCATTTCAAATTTCGCCAGTAGAGGGCACCTCTAATTACTACAAATAGTTTTGATTGCAACAAACCGCAGCTTGCTTCTGCAACTTCCCGTGTACTACTTTCTTTCTGTCATCGTCGCTCGAAGCGGAAACAAGCTCCGAAAAGTACTCTGAGAAATGGTAATAAAAATTAAATAAATTATTTTGAGTTAAGGGTGCTGTTAATCAGAAATAAAATAGAAAACTAAATCAACAAGTAAAATTAGTTGAAAAGTCACATTGTACTGATTTTCTCATAATGTAACATAACCTAAATTAATTTGTGCACACGTGGTTAAAAGAACAATATATATATATATTATTTTTTAGTTTTATTAATAAATGCTTAATTTATATTTTTAGTCTCATCGTAAATTCTCTGCGCCTCGCCATGGCTCCATGGCATTCTACCCAAAAAAGCGGTCATGCCGTCATCGTGGTAAGGTCAAGGCTTTCCCCAAGGATGACCCCAGCAAACCAGTACATTTGACATGCTTCATTGGTTACAAAGCCGGTATGACACATATTGTGCGAGAAGCTGACCGTCCTGGATCCAGTAAGTCCAAATATTTAACAAAGTATTTAACTATTATTTTCAATGATGAGAGAAAGTTAAAATTTTATGGTTAGAACACAATGATTTCCATGATTTAAATATAACTAGGGCGATCTGATTTTAAATATTTAGTATTTATTGAACCAAATATCGGGCACATGTATTGAACGTATGTAATTTTCTCATTGCAGAAATTAATAAGAAGGAAGTAGTTGAAGCTGTAACCGTTTTGGAAACTCCACCAATGATAGTAGTTGGTGCTGTAGGTTACATCGAAACCCCATACGGTCTCCGTGCCCTTGTAAATGTGTGGGCTCAACATTTATCTGAGGAATGCCGTCGTCGTTTCTACAAGAACTGGTATGTTTAATAACAATTTAGTGGGGCTGGTTATAAATGAACGGAACACGTGTTGGTTTCTTTTATATTAAGTGATGATAGATGGTAACTGACTTTTTTGAAGATACTTTTATATTACCATCCCTGCCTGCCTTCCTTCTGATAATAAATTAAAAGAAACCAACATTTTGTTCCAAAAAAAATTTTATATAAACTGTTTGCTCATTATAAAGATTTACTAAAAAAAAATTAAAAACAAAGTTCTTGGATCAGCATGCTGAGAGAGCTTGTAAAATCAATACAAGTCGTGTGAGCGCCATATGGATTACCTGCCTTTTTGGTTATTGGTAGTCTGATATGTGATAAACGTGAGCACGGCATGGAAGAATTGATCTCCGCTCGCTTAAATTGCGATGAGGTCATCTTCTATTTTCTTTTTTGATAGTTGCATAGCAAAGAAATTGAGTGTTGCGCCCACCCAATGGAGCTGAGAGCAAACTTCCTTGGCTGCAATTATGTTTCATTTCTCGCACTGACTACGGTGTCGGTTGTCTGCATTGATAATAGAATCTGACGAATGTAATCTACTTCGATCCAGGTACAAGTCAAAGAAGAAGGCTTTCACCAAGGCTAGTAAGAAATGGGAAGTTGACTTAGGCAAGAAGAGCATTGAAAATGACTTCCGTAAGATGCTCCGTTATTGCAAGGTCATCCGTGTCATTGCCCACTCACAGGTAATTACTAATATATTTATATATGTATAAATTAATTCAGTATGCGATGTCCTTGGTCCGCTGCGTTGGATGTGCACTGAAATCTTCGGATGAATGTGTGCGTCCGATAAAGTGTTCCTAAAAGGCGGGTTTGCTGTGATGCTTGATGCACAGTTATATAACCGCAACGTCGCAGAATAAATTGCCCTTCGGGTGGCGATTCTTGATATATTCCAGTAACTGTGCATAGCCACTTAGGCAGTGAACGCACAGTTAAACCATATCACGGACAATACCCAATTTTTAAAATAAATGTATTAAATTTCCAATTGGGATGCGTCGGTTTTGTACAACTCTTCTTTTTTTTTTTTTTCTCCCACATTAGATTCGTTTGATCAAGCAACGTCAAAAGAAGGCCCACATAATGGAAATCCAATTGAACGGTGGTTCCATTGAAGACAAAGTTAAATGGGTACGTGAGAACTTGGAAAAACCAGTGCAAGTCAGCAATGTTTTCGGACAGGATGAGATGATTGATTGCGTTGGTGTTACCAAGGGTAAAGGATTCAAGGGTGTTACTGCTCGTTGGCATACCAAGAAATTGCCACGTAAGACGCACAAGGGTCTGCGTAAAGTTGCTTGTATTGGTGCTTGGCATCCATCTCGTGTGTCCTTCACCGTGGCACGTGCCGGTCAGAAGGGCTACCATCACCGTACCGAGATCAATAAGAAGATCTATCGCATCGGTGCTGGAATTCACACCAAAGATGGCAAGGTACGTAAAAAATTCATGAAAATAAATTTCATTGCTACGTTGCATTGATGATAAACTCATAAAGTTCCGACATCAAACATAACTTTTTATTGATACCAAAATGATAATCAAATGATAGGACTGATTTGCATAATTCATAAATTATGTTTTTTTTTTAATGAATGCGAAAATGCAGTAGCTAAACTTTATATATTTAATTTTTTGCAGGTCATTAAGAACAACGCCTCCACTGAGTACGATTTGACCGACAAGAGCATCACACCCATGGGTGGTTTCCCTCATTATGGTGAAGTCACCAATGATTTCGTTATGTTGAAGGGTTGTTGTATTGGCTCCAAGAAGCGTGTGCTGACACTCCGTAAATCTTTGTTAAAGCATACCAAGCGCTCTGCTTTGGAACAAATCAAGCTCAAGTTTATCGATACATCTTCGAAAATGGGTCATGGTCGTTTCCAAACACCAGCCGACAAATTGGCATTCATGGGACCACTCAAGAAGGATCGCATCAAGGAGGAGGCTGCTGCCGCGGCTGGTGCTGCTGCTACATCGGCATCTGCCTAAATAAATGTTTAAGGTTGTTAACTTTAATAACCCTAAATGTGTACCGTATTGATTATGGTATGAAAATAAATAAAAAAAAAATTTAAAAAAATTTGATATTTTTTTACAAGCTGAAATAGAAAAAAAACGACTGGGTAGGGGAAATCTTATAAAGTATAGGTGTATTGGATATTTAGGAAAATTGTCGTAAGTAAATGACTGAATTTCTTCACCAAATCTTCCAGGTTTTTTGCAAGGTATTATTACAAAATAAATTAGTTTGCATTTGAAAAAATAAAATATGTATATATCTCCGTGTACAAGATAATTAATGACTGACATCATCCTTTGAACATACATTCATGGGAATGTAATATAAGTATATACTATATGTATGAATACCATTTTTTTTATATTGAAACTTAGTCTAAACAAAATATCAGTAAATTATAAAAAAGAATATTTTATTTGTTTTTTGCTCATTTCTATTTATTTTTTATTTTTAATAAGTTTAAATAATAATAATCATACATAAAGATTGGCATTGGCTTATTACACTGATTAACAAGTTATTTTTAATATCTCAAAGCTACATACATACTTTTTATGTAGCGTCTCTTTAGTTCATAAAACCTCTGTAATCATTAGTCTGCATTATCACAGGCAATAAATAGGATGTCGTCCTTTTAAAGTGATCTCATCGTTTTGTAACATTATTTTCTTAGTTTATAGTTCTTACATCATATTATTATGCTAAAAATTATGTATGAAAATATGTTTCGTCTGCAAAAAGTATGAGTCGATTTATAAGGTTTAAAGATGATTACACATTGGTGAAAATTAAGTTGAAGCAGATCCTTGAAACACACATAAGAGCTGTTTTGAATGAATCGAAATTACATTTCAATAGGAAAAAATATTATGGGCGTCAAAACGCAATTACATATGTACATATATTTTGTTCGTATTACAAGTGTCTTCAAGGTAAATGCAGCTAAATATTTTACCACTATTTAGTTGGACAATTTCGGACTGTAATGAAAAAATTAAAAACAGAATGCAAACATAAAAATTAAGGTAATAAAACAAGATAGTTGATAATAAAAATTGCAATTAATCAAAATCTTCTATGGTTAAAAAATCAAGAAATCCAAAAGTTTGAACAGAAACAAATTTGGTAATATTGAAGTATGTATGCGTTTGTGAATTTAAGATAGTACAAACATTAATAACATTAAACATAACGTAATATCTAAGCGTTTTAAATTGTTATTACTTTTCTTTGGGTGTTTTATCCTTAAACAGATATTCATTGGCCATACTGTAGGCGAGACCGATTGTCAACGCTCCGACAACGGTACCCTGTGCAGCGACACGAAGTTGCATTAAAAACACACTCGTGCTCATTGTACCACGATTCTTATATTTGTAGGCGCCAATAAGACCAGCCGCAGCGAATCCAGCCAAACCTGATAGAAAAAAAAAACAGTTTTTAAAACAAATGTGAGTAAAACTAAACTAGAAACTTCATTAAAATGCAATGGGGTGAGGGAAAACCAGCTGATGATTTCGCGGAAAAAATTATTACGAAATGATTACCGCATTTGCTACAATTTTGTATCAATAACACTTGTGCAAAACGTTTATCTACATAGATACATCTGTAACATGTACATATGAACTTACATTGCATTTATTTTTCTCTATCATCGACAGAAACTGTAAACATAGTGATTAGAATGATTATGGCAATGAATTTTTTTGAGGAAAACACATTTACATACAAATAGTTATTTTCGACAAAGCTTCAGTTCTAATTCGACATTTATGAGGCAATGGACTCTATGAACTGTTTATGTGTTTTAAAAAATGCTAGGCGGACGATTTATTAGATACTGCATCTATAAACCTTTCTCAATTGGCTTATGTTATATACATACAAACATATTGTATGTTTGATAGATACTTAATAAAAGGTTATTGGAAAATTACACTCTTAGCAGTGCTTCAATCTAGAATTGGTATATATGCATATCAGCTAAATAAATAACTAAATATACACTCTAGTAATTTCACAAATCTAGAAGAAGTGACATACTAGATGCTGTGAGCACTAGAGTTAAATTCAATATTACACAGATTCGTAAAGTTCTTGAAGACACGTGAATGTGAATCATTTCGTCTTCTATTGCATACGTGACAATGAAAAAGAGAAAAAAGTAGCAAAACGATAATAGGGCAGACAGCTCTAGCAAAAATTGCACAGTACCAAATGTCAAGTTTGCAAACAATTTCACACAATTATAATATAGATAGTAAAAACAATTTTGATGAATTTATGTATATAAGCACTTCTCTACACGAGCTTTGCGCTATATTGATTACATCATCATGTATTGTAATTTCGCACAGACGAAGGTGATAAGATTCACTTTCACAAAAAAAATGTAAATGATTACTAAAGATATTAAGTGTATTTAAAAACTGTCTAGTCCTAAGTTGCACAATTTTGCTTATCTACAAGCGGCTCTAAATAGCCGCCACTACATCTAAAATAAAGGCGAAAGCAAATATTTATGTATCCAGGTAAGAGGTATTATAAGATTTAGGAGAGCACTAATTTTTTTTATCCGAATTTTGGGACAGAGACTAGATTTTTTAAAATTACTTTCTTTGAGCATTGCAACAATAGTACAACTGCATCAATTATTGTGTAATAAACAAAAAAATTAATAAATGTAGGCGATTCTAACACGCGAATGACAAAGAACAAGGTGAAGGTCAAGTGCACGCATTTTGCGCCTGCTTCTTCCTACTAATTTAAAAAGCGAATAAAGAACCAAAAATTTCCGCTATAAAAGTGCTTGACGTCATTTCGCACAATTTGCCTGCTTTCACTCTCGTGGTCAAGTCAAAACGCTTTAGCATAATAATTATATTTTATTACGTAAAACAATTTTCCCCCTCCAAAACTTACCAATAATCATAAATGGCGAATCCTTCACTTTCCTGGAAAGTTTACTACCTTGGCTTTCATCACGCGAATCTTCAAAATACGATTTGGAACTCATATTTGTTTTTTTTTTTTTTTTTTTTTTTGCAATTATTCAACAAGTTTTGTGTTAAAAGGTTTTGCACACTCTTTACCAATTAGGTCACTGCACTTCCGTACTTATATTCCGAAAACTAGCTTTCTTGACGAGGTTCGATTAACAATTGATGAGTGGGAACTAGACGGTGGGTGTATGGACAGATTAGTTGAGATGTGAGAAAACTGATATCAGTTCATATTTTGATGAGATAAAATAAATAAAATCAAATTATTGGCTTTAGTATTATAAACAACTCGGTGTAATTACAAATAATTCAGAAGAACAACAATATTTTTCATAATAAAATGTTTCAATTATTTATCGATAATTAATAGAGCAGACACGAGTTGAGTTGAGTTGCTTTCGGCTATTTATTTCTAGGTAGATTTCGCGGCGAATTTATAAAAAATGAAGTTGTCAGATAATAAGATTGCTTGTTCTTCCTTCCATATCAACAAATTACAAAAACAAAATACATGAGAAACAGGGTTTTACATTACGTACTTTCATTACACAAACAAAATACATTGAAAAATTTTATGTTTTGACTTTTCGAAACTACGTTTACACAAACAAAATACACAAGCTTACGTTTTTGTATTCCTGCTACTACCGTGTGTGAATTTGCCTTGGTAGATTTCTTTTATAACACGAAAAGAGGACAATTAAAAAGCGCACACGCATACAAATACAAAATTAAAAATAATTAACTTCACTAATACCTAATATTAAAATGAAAATTTCGAAATGAAACATTTGACATGAGACATTTTGCTTTGATTAGTGAATTAATAGATCTCATCATGAGATTGAAATGATCGAACTATTCACTGAAAATTAAGCAAAATTATAGAAAATTTCTTATTTGATTTTGTAATACAAATAATAATCATTACTTGTGACTATGATTAATGAAAAAACTGTTAAATATCTCCTGCTCGAATTAACAATTGATTATTGTGTACGTGTAAGCCTCATGTAAGTAATTTGAATTAATCGATTTTTTCAGAAATCGTTTTGAGCTGTCAGCTGCAAATTGTTTTAGTTAATGCATTAACGTTTAAATTATTTCACAACATTTAACAAATATATATTTGAAGATTCGATGGCTGCTGGTGGTGGAAGCCCCTTTTGGAATCCGGATATAGATGTTGTCATTAGTGACAGTGAAGATGACGATGATGAAACTAAACCAAATTACAAAGGGCTTGAGGCGCTGATATTTGTGTTGGACGCTAATCTATATGAGAGTTTTGAAAGGTTTTCGGAAGCTTTAGACATAGTTCGCAAGGCACTTATATCCGGCTTGTTGGTGGATAATAAAGATCTAATTGGCATAGTATTTGCAAATACAGCAAAAAATCCTAATCCCTTTGAAGCTTATAGCTTGGAGAATGTTGTTGTGCCGCCAAATTGCGCCGTTTTCTTACCGTTGGGGGAGCTTTCAAAGTCGATAGTGGAACATTATTTGCGTTTCATGGAAACTGCAGAAGAAGATTTTGGAAAAAAATATGGTGTAATGGGAAATGGTGGAAATGCTGATTTTTCCGTTATGCTACGTTTGTGTATTAATCTGTTTGAAAACGCGGGTTACAATTTGGTTTCTTCTACTTTGGTCTATTTGACTGATAGAGCGACACCACATCCAACTAATTCGAATTTATATCAGAGAGCTTTGCAAAAAGCCAAGGATCTGGAGGGGAAGGAAATCGAATTTCAAGTAGTACCCATGGTAGATGATTTTGATTATGATCCTTTCTATAAAGAGTTTCTAACGCTAGTAGAAGGTAGGTCTGAAGAATTAGTAGTTGCAGAATTTGTTAAAATAAAAGAATTCCTTTCAGATGGGAATATTGCTGAATTCGAGCCCAGAAACCCTGAGGAATTACGTTCGTTATTATCAGATCGTAAATTGCGTCAAAATGTTTTAAGGCGTTCTTTGGGTCATTTTAAATTATCACTGGGTCCGGATTTGTCGATATCTGCGCGATATTATAACTATTTCAAACTTCGTTTCATGCCTCGTAAGGTACGGATGCTACGCAAAGACAATTCTATAGTTCAACAAAAGCATGTTACAACAGTACGAAAAGAATCTCAAGAAGATAAGCAAATTGTTGAAGAATTTCAAGTGAAGCAAACTGGTGGCTGGTATGAAATCAATATTGGCGATATGCCAATTCGCATCACACCACAGCAAATAAATCGAGTTCGAAATTTACATGCACCGGGTATGATGTTACTAGGCTTCAAACAGATTTCTGAATTGCCAGAAAACTGGTATTATAAACCTCAAAACTTTATGTATCCTGATGAAAAGATTATAAGCGGATCAAAGCGTTTATTTCGGGCTCTATGGGAAAGATGTTTGGAACGAAATAAAATGGCTATTTGTTTATTTATGCGTAAACGAAAATCCATTCCACGCTACGTAGCCTTGATCCCAGTGGAAGGCGCCGTTATCGAGGGTGATATATACAAACCATTATTATCTGGTGATGGTTTTAAAATCGTATATTTGCCATTTGCCAAACACATACGAAATATCGATTTTTCCAATTGGAATAACATACAAAATGAGGCATCTGAAGAGGGTGTGAAGGTTTTTGAAAAGGTAGTTGGTAAATTGCGTACTACATTCCAATCTAATATTCTTGTCGATCCTACTGTGGAAGCATTGCAATCGAACCTACTGGCTTTAGCACTAAATATAAAAACTGATAGCGCTGGCCTCAGCGGCATGCCGGATGCCAAACGACAAGATGAGCGTATTGCTAAAATATTACCAAGTTTAAATAAAATATTTGGTGAAGATGAGGTAATGACATCGAAGAAACGTCCAGCCAATACGGGAGATGCGCGAAACGCAGCTAAAGTTCCTAAAGTGGATGCATCCAACTTGCTACAATGGGACTACATACAGCAGTTGGCTAAAAACGATTCGCTGGGTAGTTGCACCATTGCTCAATTACGCGATATTTTGAGTATACATTTCGATACAACTGTTCCAGCACAAATGAAGAAAAATGATTTGGTTGCTCGAGTCAAGGAGTTGTTAGAGAAATAAAGATTGTTAGCTTTGTTAATATTTACGATTAAAACTTTAAGTTACTTAATTTTTTGTTTTTATGGTACTAGGACAAACATTCCTGGACTAAACGTTTTTTTTTTTTGGAGACCATACGAAACATGCTTTCAACTCAGGTAAGAGATACGATTTTGGGGTTATCACGAGATAAAATCCTCCAAATCACTCGACCCGGAGTGCGCTGATGCTAAAATATTTGGATTCAGAGAGCGGAATTTCTCACTAACACTCACAAGCTGGAGTGGTTCCGATATTGAACTGAAACCGAAGCAACCTGCCATAATGGTATCGATCAGCAATCCTCCTTTCCACAATAGCGCAGGCACTTAAGACTGTGGTGCTCTCAATTCAACTCAGAGCTGCCGTATACAGCGCCACCACCGTACTTAACGACGTCATAATCACTTAGATAACTAAACCAAATTCAGACATTCAGGTATTCTTATTACCGCCGGAGTTGAAAAGTAGACCAGAAACTTCATGAGTGGTCGACAGTTATCGGTAAAATTTCGAGGTCACAATTCCAAACGTTGCTTTCGACTTACATGCTGTTGGGCAGATAGTAATAAACTGCGTCGCACCGATTCCATATCAGGCAACAGAGAGACGGGGATGACGAAGCTACAAAATCCCCTGCGAGTTAGGGGCTCAAGAATTTACCCGCGGTAAGGCATGCCTGTCGTAAGAGGCGACTGAAATCCAATAGTTCCCGCGATAGTCGGGTCTTTATACCGGAACGACCCGGATTTTTATCCGGCCAAGGACTGTCACTCCCGCAACATTCCCCAAAAAGTAATTTGGAGAATAATTTTGCGGTTACAACAACAACAACAACAACAACAACAACAACAACGAAGCTACAAACCTTTCAGATAACTGCTCTGATTACAGCAAATCTCCAGATGTCATATGTGTACTATTCACAAAGTGAAACAACTAGAGTTCAGTTAAGGATTCCGTTCTTCATCGAACGCCTTGCATCAAGCTAGGCAGAGATTTGATGGTGATCCAAAGCTTGGTAATTATTTAGTCCATATCTTGGTTTACCAGTTATCGAGTATCGAAATGCGATCCGATCGCCATAAAGGTGGCAATGCCTGATTAATACATATCGTGGAATATGCTTCAGTTGTATACAATCGGTTTTATCAAGTATGGATATGTGCAAGAAGGCAATTACCAAGTGACCAGTAAAGTAATACAGCTAAACTGTGAGCTGTGGATTTGTTTCCTAGTTTGAGATTTACAAGCTGTTTTTTTTGCACCTATATATTATACATTTTCCTCTAGCCGCTTAGATTTTTGTCCTCTGCACCGCAGAATTCTCTGAGTCCGCATAAAAGTTCGTGTTCTTCCGCGAGAATTGTTAGATTTTAATCTCCTTAATCTCCCGTGGTTATTCATGAATCTCTGTTGTTGTTCTTGTAACCACAAAAATATTACCGCGGGTAAATTCTTGAATTCCCAAATCGCAATTGTACTTGCCGGCGTTTCTGGATTGTGGTGCCCGCGATAGCCGAAGATTAGCAATGCGTTCGGAAGGCCAGGATCCTGGACCGGCAAATATTCAAATTAAAGAAAATTAATTTCTTTAATTGCAGGGAATGTCTGATGTGAAATAAAGACTGCTCATAACAAATTTACATACAAATCGTTTTGTTATTTTCGAGATTTCAAACTCAGTATCATACTAAGCTGTGTTCTCTTAAGATATGAAAAGTACAAAAAAAAAAAAAACAGAAAGATAAATAAAAAAATTTTATATTTTGGTAGTGACATTAGATTTTATTATTTTTGCCCATATATATGTATACGAATGTACGTTAATACCTACCTAACGGTAACCACGGCAGGATTTTTACGCACACGTACAAACCCTCTTAGCATTGATGGTCATCATACGTGTAGATGAAATACGGCACCCGTCACAAGTACTCCACTTGAAAAGGTGAAAGGAGTCTCCGTTGCATTTTATGAGTGGAACTCACTTTTTATGACGTTCACAACCTACCGTGCTCCATGCTGCGGTGGGCGCGCAACGTATGCAATACCAAATTGGCGACACCGTAAAAACCTACTTTCAGTTTGGCGTGGGGGAAAAAAAGAATGATAAAAAAAATCAAGAAAGTAAAAAATGAGGCAATAGTAGGGTTACCAGAAAGAGGTTGACCATGCATTGAGTATATTACGGCTTGGAGGCACGTAAAGTGGGCGTTGTTTGCTACTGAGATGATGTATATTATGCTATAAATCGACGTAGGGATGTGAGCTTACGATTTTTTAAATATGTATATGTGCATATGTAAGTGCGAATAGTAGGTTTATATCTTGTGCGGAGAACAGCGAGAGGGAATGCATTACTGCAGTTCGATATTAATGATGTTTTTCGTACTATTTATTACTGCTGCTCGGATAATATTATTTCTTAAAAAATATTTCCTTTTTTTAACTCAATGTAAACATAGTGTAATATTATATATATCTATATATAATTGGCACTTTATAACGACTAAAGCGATTTTCGCCTGAGTTCTCCTTCCAATTTTTAGTACGCGTCTCGATGTTTTTCCAATTTCTAATTTATTCTATGCCACCTCCGAACAGCCGGTGGATTTTCATGAGGAGCTTCGATTTCACGTCACAAATACACTCATATGAGTTAATTCCCTGCCAAATACGACCGTCGTTACAAAAATTTATTTTATATATTCTTGAATGTTTGGTCAGACCAGCACAAGATCACTGGCTATCAGAATGTAAGTATTTAAGACCGAATTCATATGTCGCTCTGTCTGAAATTCTGTTTCTGGAGAGAAGTATTCCATTTTTAAGCGTACATTCCACACTGCCTTAGACATCATTCCGGTCCAGGTTGCCATTATTATATGTAAATAAACATATGTACATATACTACATAGAAATGAGCTTATGACATGCATGTATCTCTAACATTTTTTTCAACATAGAATTCTGTTTAACTAAAAAGTGAAAGGAAATGGATGCTGAGCTGGTGTTCCCATAGCATATGCATGCTCTGGTTATACATATATTGAAGTAATATAATACCCTTTCGTACCCTTATGTGTGTACTACGTACACTTGCTATTTTCTGACACTCTCTCATAATTTTATATATATATGTATATATGTACTTACTACAAGTTATATACTGAGCGCCCCTTTATTTGCCACTGAACTTCCAACTTTCAGCTTCATTCAGCTGCGCATATATTGTACATATAATATGTATACAGTATCACATCCATTGAGGGTCCTAGATAGTTCACAGAATTTCTTACATGAGCAACGGTAATTTGCATTGCAATTGCAAGGGGTGCATGCACACGCATGTAAAGGTAGTCAGTCTATGTAAGGGTTCATGTGTCCATCTCAAGCAGGTAGTTATAGTGTATGCGAATATATAATATATAAACCGTTGTCCAAAAAGTTGAACTCCGTTAAGGTATTTTGCATATGCTTGTACATTCATATACATAAATGTTTGTATGTATGTGAGTGTCTCTTTTCCATAACTTGTGAAATATTTGTTGTTTAGATTTAATCTCATGACTTTTCTCTCAGTAGTAGGGAATCTCTACGAAAAATATCTAAATCAATATTTTTGTTTAAGTAAGACGAAGTATAATACTTATTTACTCTAAGGTAACATTTTTTAAAATATTGTATATGTATTCATATATTGGATGAGTGCATAAGTTCGTGCCCGATTTCAAGTGCAAACTAAAATTGAAATTTTTTGAAGAAAGCGCTTTTATTAATCAATTATGTATTCGCCATCATGTTCGGCAATCCACTCCCAACGTTCAACCAATTTACGGATGCCTGATTCATAGAACTCGCGCGGTTTCTCGTTGAAAAAGGTGTCAAGGTGGTTTTTGACGTCTTCCACATTTTTAATTTTTTTTCCATTCAAATTGTTCTGCAGCGATCGAAACAAATGATAATCAAAAGGTGCAATGTCGGGTGAATATGGGGGATGCGGCATGATTTCCCAATTCATCTCCTTCAGTTTGGCCAGGGTCGGTTTTGAAACATGTTTGCCGTCCACTGCCAGGTTGATCTTCGAAATTTCGAGAACCATTTCTTTACAGTGCGGAGTGCTGGAGCACGGTCCAAATAAACTTCGCGAATATCTTTAGTTGCAGCGCCTACTGTTTTTCCTTTGTGGAATTCGTATAACATAATATGACGCATATGATCTTTTTCGTTGTCCATCTTCCATGCGTCTTTCACTAAGCAACTCAAATTAAAATGAAGTTATTTTTTGCTTGATTTGCAGTCGGACTGTCACCTTTCCAACGATATATAATATGTATATATTTCTTTCACGAGCGCCACTCTCAAACGATTCGAACGGCATCCAGCGGAATCGGGCACGGACTTATGCACTCATCCAATACTTCGAATAAGTTCCTCATTAGATTTTTAAGATCATCAAAACTAGTTGAAAATGTTGAAAGTTAATTTTTTTTTTTACAAATTACTTAAGAACGTAGAGCTTATAATCAAAGCGGACCACATGACTTAGCCAGCATAGCCATTGTCTCATCCCATGAATCCAATGAACTATGTAGTTCATCTTATGTAAAACTTTTCTCTCAAAAACTCCCAACTCCGACTCATCGTCCATACCTCCGCATGCGTTAGATCTTTGTTCATCGTGAGAGGAATTCAATTACCTCCTCAGTACAAACTTTTGGCAAGACTGATTTTGCCTACTCCTGCGTCCACCTCGCACACTTCTACAAGGGAAGGTTGTGCGTTGAGTTTGGGATTCGCCATGTGGAAAACAAGCTCCAATCAAAAAGATACTAAAATCCAAATGTGGTCATATGTCAAAAAAAAAAAAAATAAATAAAAATCTTCTAACAAAAATGCCATTTCCAAGAATTTAAAGAAATTCCAATAAATCGAATTTTAGTACTTAATCATTTTAGATTGATTTAATTAATTTATTATTAAATTGTTATATTATTTTATTTTATCTGATTTTACTTTGTTTCATTG